GCTGTTTCGGCTGATTGCCGTTCTCAAGTGATCTATTTTTGGCATGCGTTTACACTTTATAGTCTTTAATGAAATCGGTCGAGGACGGGAGAACTGTTTGTCTCAAGTTGGTTATTCAGAACTATATCTGTGTTTTTTAATTTGTTGATTTCGATAGATTCTAACAAAGATAGCTTAAACCTGAATTTCCATCAAGTAACGGTCGAACCCATCAATTATTTATATAGAGAAATTAAAAGAGCATGTAGGGATGATAAAAATAAACATATAAATAAAAAATGCGAAGAACTAGCGGGATATACAAACCGGTATGAATCCCATGAGCTATATAACGAAGTCCGATATCTATCCAGGGAATTTAAACCAATAACACAAACAATAATGGATCAAAACAAACATATTATAAATGACGAGAAAGGGATTGCGGAGGTATGGAGGAAATATTGTCAAAGTATATATGAAGATGATCCCCAGAATGCAAATCAGTATGAGTTCGTTGTAGAGAGAGAACCAAACATTCTAGAGTCAGAGGTAGAAAAAGCAATCAAAAAGTTGAAAAATGGAAAATCTCCTGACGCAGACCAGATCACCGCAGAAGTTCTAAAAGAGACTGGAGATATTGGAGTAAATGTTATGCATGTGATGATGATTAACACGTATAGAGGATCTACAACATCTAATCGAAAGCTTGAGTATGAATAGTGCTGAGATGGGAATTACTATAAACGCTAAAAAAAACGAAGTACATGCTAATTACAAAAAAAAACACAAAATATACATCACCTATTGACAATCAACGGTAAGGTAATAGAACAAGTAGAAAAATATTAGTATTTGGGAACTGTGATCAATGAAACCAGTGATCATACTATAGAAATAAACAGACGAAATAGAGATTGCCAGATCAGCATTTATAAGAATGAAGCCACTCCCAACGTGCAAAAATTTAAATTTGGAGATCAGACAACGTACCATTCGCTGTTATATATTTTCAATATTGTTATATGTAGCTGAGACTTGGACATTAACAAAATGTAATTTAAAAAGAATCGAGGCCTTCGAACTCTAGTTATACCGCAGAGTACTGAAAAATATCATGGACTGATAGAATTACAAATAAAGAAGTACTGGAGAGAGTTGATAACGAAATAAAACTAATCACCACTATACAAACCAGAAAAACTGGAATACCTAGGCCACGTGATGAGGGGAACAAAATATGAAATTTTGAAACTCATAATACAGGGAAAGTTCTAAAATAAAAATAGCCATTATGATTGCTAACCTCCGTAGGGAGACGGCACTCTAAGAAGATATGATCTGCAAACAGATTTGGGAAACCGGAGAGTGGCCCAACGACTGGACAACATCCACTTTCATCCCTATATTTAAAAAATGAACTCCGCTAGATTACAGCAACTACAGAACGGTAACCCTAATATCCCATGCAAGCAAGGTTCTCCTTCATGTAATACATAAAATACTAAAAGCTTTTCTATTGCCTCAGATATCAGAAGAACAAGCAGGTTTTGTCCCAGGAAAAGGCACAAGAGAACACATCCTTAATGTCAGACAGCTAGTCGAAAAAACTCGTAAATTCAATACTCCTATGCTTATGTGCTTTGTGGATTACACAAAGGTCTTCGATAAAGTCAAATGGCAGCAGCTATGGTCCATACTAGTGGAAATGGAAACACCCCACCACCTAATTCAACTAATTAGAAGTCTATATGAAAATAATAAGTGCACAGTAAAAATAAACAACACCCATTCCGATCATTTCAGAACAGAGGCAGGTGTTAGGCAGGGATGCATAATCTCGCCAACTCTGTTTAATATCTACAGCGAACACATTATACGAAAAGTCAGCGGAAGGGGAATCTCAGTATTAGGTCAAAAAATCAATAGCTTGAGATATGCTGATGACACTTTAATAATCGCGGTAAATCAAGAAGAAATGGAAGACCTAATAAGCTGTCTGGAGGAAAAAAGCAAAACAAATGTACTAAAGCTAAGTGGGAGTAAGACTAAGATTATGATAGTAGACAGAGCTCGGAATAATCTTCAACACATTAAAGAAATTGGGGGCTTTGAAGTAGTAAATAGTTTTATATACCTGGGGTCCCTCGTAAAAAATGACGGAGGATATGACAGAGAGATACGTAGAAGGTTGACTATTGCTAGAACAGCTATGATATAACTGGTAGCAATTTGGAAAAATTCTAGCATAAAAATACACACAAAACTAAGGCTGGTAAGGGCACTCATTTTTCCCATAGCCACATATGCATCCGGATTATGCATTCCGTATATGCGGATTTAGACCGAGCCGCTTTACTATTGACCAGATATTTACAATAAAACAGATAATGGAAAAATGTTGGGAGTTTGATCGTGAGCTTCATCAGATGTTCATAGATTTTAAACAAGCATTTGATAGAAGTATGCAGGAACAGACTGTGGACAGCGATGCAGGAATTTGGCTTTCCAAAAAAACTAGTCAGGTTGATACGGATGTGTATGGAACGGTTACGATGTAAGGTGAGAGTTGGACAACAATACTCGGAGACATTTAAAATAAACAATGGACTAAAACAGGGAGATGTACTTTCACCACAACTCTTCAACTTATCTCTGGAGCACATAATCAGAAGTGCAAGAATCGAAAAACCGAATACAGTATTTCATCGAGAAGGACCAAACTTTATACTGGCATTTGCAGACGATATCGATCTAATAGGAGACACACGATTAAGGATGAACGAGACTTTCTTGAGGTTCGAGAAGGAAGCAGAGAAGATGGGGCTCCAAATCAACGAAAACAAGACGAAATATATGTATATGAGCCGCAATAACCAAAGCAGAGACATAATCGGTTAGAACATCACTATCGATGACTTTAACTTTGAGCACGTTAGAGAATTCAAGTATATTAGAACAACAATAACTGAAGACAATAACGTATCAAAAGAAGTAAACAACAGGATTCAGGCCGGCAACAGATATCTTTTTGCTCTCCAAAACCTTATAAAATCGAAACAACTAACAAACGTACGAAGATACAGGTTTATAAAACAATCATACGACCCGTTGTGATGTATGGAAGCGGAACGTTGACGATAACAAATGCAAAGAAAGAGGGACTATGTGTTTGGGAAAGAAAAATCCCAAAGAAGATCTTTGGTCCTGTACTGGATGAAGCATCAGGACATTATAGGATAAGAACTAACAAAAAGCTCGAAGAACTTTAGCCAGACGCCAACATCATAAAAGAAATAAAGTCCAAAAGACTCCAATGGGCAGGACACCTTAAAAGATATTCTAACGAATGAACAGTATGGCTGGTGTGGGAAAAAATCCCAACTGGAAGAAGGCAACGCGGACGCCTTCGTCTCCGGTGGCGAGATAATATAGCAGGAGACCTAAGCAGTGTGGGCGTGGAGAATTGGATGGAAGTTGCTCAAGACAGAAAACAGTGGAGGCATGTTGTCGAGTCGGCTAAAACCCACGAAGGGTTGTAACGCCACGGAGTAAGTAAGTAACATATGCATCCGAAACGTGGACCTTAAAGAAAGCGGATAAAAATAAACTGGACGCTTTTGGAATGTGGGTATACCGCCACATGTTGAGAATATCTGGATTGATCATGGAACTAACGTATCGATATTAGAACAACTTAAAGTAAAGGATAGATTGCTTAAACAAATACAACAGAGACATTTGCAGTATTTTGGACACATTGCTAGAACAGGTACGATGAAAAAACTGGTAGTCGAGAGTAGAGTTGAAGGAAAGAGACCTAGGGAAGATCTTTAATCCGTTGGGTAGATCAAACGAAAATATTGATATTAACCAAGGGTTACATGAAGCCGAACAACTAGCCCAGGACAGAGAAGGATGGAGGGAAATCGTGAAAAAACTATAAAGGCCTGATGGTGTCACCACATCCCAAAAGGGATTAGAATAGTTAGATTCACCTATCTACCTGCCTTCTTGTCTCTTGATGCACTGGAACCCAACACAAAGTTCTCTTTAAAGTATTAGTTTAAGTGCAGCTTAGCTATCATTAAGTACAAAAATCTATTGTTGGTAATTGATCTAAAGTATTTTACAAATTGTTCAAAGAGTATTTAATGATATGGTGTTAGAATCATTAACCCCTGTCTATACTTTTTCATTAAAAATAAAAAAAAACGATATATCAATAAGAGTTAGTACAACTTTAAAACATTGTAATATTGGCTTTAAAAATTAGTGGATTTATAAGTTATGGCGAATTTATCAGCAAAATATTAACACAAAACTAACAGAAAGCACAAGAAATATTTCATATTAAAACCAACAATGCTAGTCTGTTAAGGATGGACAGAAAGTTTTGTCCACTGTACAACCCCCTGAAAAACGTAAACTGATTTCGGAAGGACAGGAAGAACAGCTATTTGCAGTATTTATGAAAGCTTTTCTTTGATAGTAATTGAGTAATGGTTTAAGTGGTAATGATTTGCGTTAATCAAATAATACAAATTTTACTATAAATAAATATGATATATAAATATGAATTATTACCAGAACATATTCTTATACCAGTTTATCAGATTATTCTTGGAACCTTAAAAATATTTGCTTATTTTGTGGTCCAAATTTTAATTATGACAGAGATTGCACATAAATCACATATGCCGAAAATTTTGTTAACTATTTGTATGTTACTTGGATTTTCTTAATTAAATGGACCTCTAACAATTCTGGCCTCAACCCAAATAAACTTTTATCGGAAAATCCTAATGCCTCATTATATCCATGTTACATTGTTTCATTTTACTTGTTATTTTAAAGCCCCTTACTTTAATTGTAACATAATTATTTAATTAAATGATGCATTTGTTTGTCTCAGGGCTTTAACTCTAATAAAAAATTAAAATTAGGTTTGAAATTGAAATGATTTTATTTGTCAAATTATAATATTATAACAATAGACAACTATATAAAAACTAAAAGATGTTGTTTAATAAATGGTTTTAAAAAATAATGTTGTAAATCCAAGGTAGATAATCCGAAATATCGAGAATTACTACATTGGTGTGATCATCACAAACTTCCTTATTTTGCAGCTTAATTCCTACGCTGACGAGTCCTTTTAATGATGCCTTATTATCCTTGAAAGCAATTAACCCACTTCCTGAATCTCCAACACAGTTTTTATCATCTAGAACAAAAAAATTATAAAAAATACAAATCATGCAATACGCAAATAAATAATTTATACATAGAAATCATAGTACATGAATTCATAACACCTACGGATTTAATTGTGACTAATAAAGAAAATTGTATTTGGATTTATTTATGACTAATAAAGATTTGACAGGGTATTATATCCTATACTCTCGAATGAAACAGAGGAAAGCATCTTTCATAGCGGCGACACCGTTACTTTAGGACAAAGAGCTACAGATATAGTACGAAATTTTCTTGATTAATTCCTCCAACATATTCGATTTAGTTGATAAATTGTACATTTTCTACTACAAATGTTATTATCTAATTAGAAAATGGTCTATAATATAAAAAAGTTATTGTTAGCTAGTAGTAAGTGGTTGTTTCCAACAAACACATATGCTTCCAACAACATGCATTGGCTAATCGAACAAAAAAATCAAGCTAGACTTGAAAAGCTAATCAACAAGCTAAGAAACCAAGAAGGAATATATTGCAAATAGATAGACAATTAAAAAACGCCTGGGATTTAAAAAGAGGAAACAAAGTAAAGAAAAGATTGAAAGGCTAGAAGGAAATAAACAGAAAAATGATATAAAATAATTCTATAAGGAAATAAATTTTAAGAAAAAAGGTTTTGAAATAAAAACAAAATTATGCAAAGAAAAAAATGATGTGATTCATCATAATGTGACTCCATCTAATTTAGATAACGACTTACGTCATTATCTACGTCAGAGATCGAAGTTGACATAGTTGCCAAAGTATAAAAAAATCCTGACTCCATTTTAAATCAAATAGGTCACATAATTATTGCAAAAGTATTACCATCTCTTTACAACGACTATTTAAATTCTTACGTGACATTTTTGAAATAAAACACACTAATTTTGTTCTAAAAAGAACAGATTTTATTAAATAGGTAAAAATATAAAACAAGAGGTATTCACTTTAAAATTCAAAATAATAAAGTACAAAAAGTGTCAACACCGCAACTGTCAAATAAGTGTTACCAATTTATGCCAAAATTTTACCTTCGTTCGATTACAGTTACAGTGTGTTCCGAACAAATGTTCTTGATAAAAACTCTTTATAATGGATTTATACAAATTAAATGAAACATATTATTGTGTATTTCTTTAAGTTAACATTAATAGAAATTTTTAAATATTATTTCTACGCGTATATAATAAAATATGCCTAGTGGCTGTAATGCCAGTGTACTCGGTAAAGTGATTCTAAAAAGAACACACCTAAACCCTAAATATTTCGTGTTGGTATCATATGACGTCACAGGCTATGACGCCGATGACGTGCATCGTTATATAAATTAGATGAAGTGTATATGCACCAACAGTAGAAATATAAAAGATGTAATAAAAAAAAACTGAAAAATAACAAGGCCCCAGGATGTGATACAATAACCGTAGAAATGTTAAAATATGGAGGACATAGATTACAGAGTGAAATATCAAAGTTAATACCAGATATATGGAATACAGAAATATTGCCGGAACAATGCAAAATAGCAGTGGTATGCCGTATACATAAGAAGAGAGATGAGTTAGGCTGCAATAATCACCGGGGAATATCACTACTAAACGTTGGATACAAAATATTTAGCGAGATATTAGAAGAAAGCCTAAACAATATATTGGAAACAAACAACAGGGAATAATTAAGGAGGAGTAAGAAAAGGTAGGTCAACTAGAGCAAATATATACAATAAGCAAACGTGGTAAAATCTATGAACTGAATACCAAACTGCATCATCTGTTTGTAGATTTCAAACAAGCGTATAATTTAATAATTAGAAAGGAATTATATAACGCAATGCAAGAGTTAAATGTGCCAAAAAAAAACATCAGATTAGTAAAACTATGCCTAACCAACACTACAGCAAAAGTAAGAATCCAAAATAAACTGTCTCGATGAATTTAATATCAATGAAGGTCTAACACAACAATATGGGCTATCCACAACACTTTTTAACCTTGCGTTGGAAACATGTTATCAGGAAAACTCCTATAGATAGGGAAGGTACAATATTTACAAAAATCAACCAAGTCATAGCTTACGCAGATGATATCGACATAATTAGCTGGATATTAAAAGACCTAGAAAAGATTTATACATATTTTAAAGAAGCGGCACATACTATGGGTATAGAAGTTAATGTCTTAAAGACAAAGTACATGAAAACAACTCAGGAAAAAGTACAAATAAAAGCACTCATATATCTTTAAGCGAGAAAAATTTGAAAAGAGTAGACAAATTTAAATATTTAGGATCAATAGTTACAGAAGGAAATAAAAACAGTGATGAGGTAACAGCGAGAATTTTACTTGGAAACAAATGCTTCTACAGCCTACAGAATATTATAAATTCAAAATTAGTATCTAGTAACTCAAAATTAAAAATATACACAACAGTTGAGACCCTGTAATAATGTATACATCAGAAACATGGACTTTGACTAGTGAACAAGAGAAACAACTTCTTAGATGAGAAAGAAAATATTTAAGAAAATATATGGACCTATACAGGAGAATGGGAAATGGCGTATAAGAATGAACCACGAAATAAATAGAATATTAATAGACCGACTATCACAAAAAAATACGAAGTAAACGACTGAGTTGATTGGGACATGTAGAAAACATGGATGATAAGAGAAATACAAAAGCAGTGCCAAGAAAAGAATTAAACGGGAAGAGACCGAGAGATAGGCCAGAATGAGATTGATTGATGGTATTAACCCGGATTTAAAACCAGTGTGAATGAACTACTATTTGGTGTGCTGTATCTGGACATGGGATATATAGTTATTATTTTGTTGAAGCTTCAAATGAGCATCCAGTTTCTCTTACCGAGGATCGTTGCAGAGAGGAGACTATTACACCTTTGGTAAGAAATCTGTAGATACACAGGCAATAGTTTTAACAGAATAGCGCAACAAGCCATATATGTAGCTGTATACGTTCTAGTCTTAGTTCACGAGTGTTTATAAAACAAAATAATTTCTCGTGGAACAGGTATTGACTCTTTATAAATATATTGGATAATCTGCAAAAGCGTTATGAAGCTTGTTTGGGCAGTAATGATGTACATTTTTAATAATTAGATTAGGATATAACTTAAAAATAAATATAATCTTGAATATTTTACTACCGTGAGAGTTTATTTTAAATAGGTTAAGGAAATAATAATAAGACTTAACCACAATCAATTTATTTTACCACCAACGACCGGTTTTTCATTGCAAAAAATTAAGTGAAAAATGATTTAGTAAAATTGAAATTAAATAAATAATACTTACATTCCGATACAAGAATTAATATTGAATATTATTATTAATACAATAATAATAAATGTGATTATTATTAAATTACTGCTACTATTTAACGAATAAATGGGTAGTTCTTGAGTGGGAAAAGATATTAACAACTAGGCTAGGAATGTAGGTATTATGTAAATTGTTTGTTGAAAATTAAATGTGTTTTCTGGTAAGAGTCAATGTTTCTGCTTCATATGTTGGAACTAGGAGTATACATTATTCAAAGATATTGGTTTCCAAGCGCAGGGAAATATCAAATCTTAAAGACTTCACTCGGTTTTCCGTAAGCTGCCCATGTTAGTTTTATTGCCCTGGTTAACTATGTTGTTTTATCGTCTCTTCCTATAATTTAATCTCGTAGCCCAGACTTATAGGTATACACTTGCATTTGCATTTCATTAGTTGAAATGTTTTTGGTCAGTTTAAGATTGGGTCATGTATTGTGTTTTGTAAAATTTAATTTTAAGACCAACTCATGTACAAAAGCTCTGAAGGTCTTAAAGATGTTGGTAGGCATGATCTACCCGGCCTGAAATAAAGACTATGTCGTCTGCAAACCTCAAGTTATTCAGATCCCAATTATGTTGGTTTGATCAAATTTTATTATTATTTAATATTATCCAGATTTAGCTGGCTGCTCACACTCCTTTTAGGAAGAAAATTCACTCATTCCAGATACGTACGGTATCAAAAAAATTTAGCTCTGGTGGGACTCAGATGTTGATTTATACCCAGCTTTTTTATGTTATCTAAGAGGTTCTTCGGAATGACTACAATCGTAGAAAGAATAATAGGTGTCATCTCAGTACTTTATTATCTCCATTATCTCCTTATTTGTATTTTCATATCTCTGCTCTTGGCGATTTTTTTGTTATTTTTAAAAGGCAAATTATTGTTGATAGGTATCGCCACATCGATTAGTGTTGGTCTCGTCAGTTTATTCTGTGAGTATGTGCTACAGTTTATTCTGTGAGCACAGTGCGATCTCAGTATAGCTTGTAGTTATCATTCTCAAGCATAGCCTCAGAAACGTATTCATTATTATTATTATTATTTTATCATTTTTTAAATTATTGTTCCATGGCACTCTGCATTAAAGCAGCGAATTGTTTGGGAGAGATGGTGTCTAATTGCCTAACACTTTCCTTCAAGGGAAACGTGTCTGTATCGCTGTAGTAGATTCTCACTGCAGCTGCTGAACTGTTATATATATATATATATATATATATATATATATATATATATATATATATATATATATAATATTATAATATTCCGCAGAAGGGTTTTGTACCTATGATCAAAACTGCACTATGTAAGAACTTTTAACATGGAGCTATGCTTGTTGTATTCTATAACTTTCTCTGTCAAGAATTTTATTACTTGTAGGTGATCATTAGTTCCAATACCAATCCTAAATCCGGCTTGCTCTATCAGTTGGTGAAAATCTAGCATAGGTCGCAGTCTGTTCGTAATTATTCTCCTAAAGAGATTATATAAATGAGATAACAAGCTAATAGGTCTGTAGTTTTGAATTTCTGTTATATCTAATTTTTTATACCACGTTATCATAATGTCATTATTCCATTTTTCTGGTGTAATATATAATATATCTGGTGTAATATATATATATATATATATATATATATATA